CGTCGTGCCCAGGGCGGGAGAGGACGGGGCCGGAGAAGAGCCGCGGAGTGGCGACTGGGGTTGGGAGGAGCGCGGCCCGCCGGCCCCAGGGCTGCTGCCCGGCCGCCGCCGTGTGGCAGCTCTGCCTGTGCGTTAGGGGAAGCCAGGGGAGGATCAGGTCACGGCTGGTCCTAGCTCTGGGATGGTTAAAAGATTACATGAAATGTGTTGGGCTGTATAAGCTTTCTTTCAGCCCTGTGGTTTAGCCGTACCTTCCCAAAACTTCTGCTTTCTGCCCTGTGCTATAGCTCAGCAAGTGACAGGTTTGTTTTATGTACAATGCCATCTGTGAGCCTCCAATTCTAAAAATATGGCTGGAGCGTGTATTTGCTAAGGTAATGTTTATCTGTAGTCTTCTATTATGGTAATTGTCTGACATGCTTGTCCGTTTGAAAAGTAAAGTTTTATATTGTTAGTTTTTATAAAAGCCATAATTATAAGGTAGACAGAAGTACAGATAATGTCAGAAGAATCTTTTTCTGGCAAGGCTGGAATTAAGTATTCTCCAGTTGCTGAAACAGTTGGCACAGCTAGTAAATTGTTAAAGCATCTAGTGTTTAGCATATAGTGTTCTTTGATGTAAAAGTATAAAAGGATACTGGATTATGTGTGTCATGAAAGGTAACATTCTTAATCTTCTTACCATGTTTTCGGAGATATTGTCCAAGTGCTTACAGAAGGATATCGTATTCGATTCAAAGTCTGGGCAGTCAGCTATAACTTTTTTTTCTTTCTTTTAACTGCCAAAGCCAAAGTGTCGGGTGGTCTATGGATGAATAAGGAGTGAAAGCAGGAAGCAGTTGTCACAACTCGCCTGTCAAAATCAATTTACTGGGTAGGTAACAGTCCTGTTTACTGAGAGGGCTCCATATTGGGAGAAGTTTTATTTAATGGTAAAAGCATTTCTGCAAATGTTTAGCCCTTTCATGTTTACATAGCACTTCTTAGCCTGGAAGATGCTAGGGTGGTTTAATGCTGCTATACATATGCAGTTTTGAAGGTAGCCATATGTGTTGAGCAGTGTGACATACAAAAGCTTTGTAGCATTTTGAGTGTGGGGCTTATTTTATACCTGAGAAGTCAACACAGACTTTTTAGGCATGGGAGCGGGGCAAGTGCCATTGGCTTTCTGTGTCAGGGCAGATGAAATCAAATGTCATCCTCTAATCTTAAAGACTTTAATGCATTTATTGTTTACTGAGTCCTAAGCACAGCAGAGCTGATGAAACAAAACTTAAAATGCCAGCTGTCTCCAGTTTTGGAGAAGAATCATAGAAAGGAATTAAAAGCCCTTAAAATGGATGGGAAGTATTACTGCAGTGGATTCTTGTTTGATCATTGACAAAATGCTTAATTGTGGGTAGCTAAGAGAGCTGTCTTTTGAAGAAAAATGTAAAGATGGAGATTTATTTAGCCCTCAAAGTTTAAATGCTGAAACTGTTGTTTTGGAAATTATTATTTTGATTATAAGGAATTTGGCTAATCCAGGTATGTTTGCATTGATTGTTGTCTTCAGTAAATAACTTAGGAGGGGGAAGAATAAAATTTGACATCTCTCAAGATTTTGTTTGTTTGTTTGCTTATAGCTCTCTATGAAAGCAGAAAATCACTAGGCTACCTCTAATTTCAGAATGTTTTTAATTAACTTTTTTTTTTTTTTAAATCTTAGTTTTTAAACTCATTTGTTTGGACGCTAACATCAATTTGCACATTATGGCTCATCGATTTTCAAAAGAAGAATTAGATGAGCAGTTTGAAGAGTTTCTGAAAGAGGTATGTTTCAGGGCAGTGTCACATCCCTTTTCCCTATTAAAATACAGGGTGAAAAATTGACTATGGAAGAATATGAAATGGAAGATGCAGCTGTGCTTTTATCACATAATTCACATAGCTGTCATGTGTGAGTCTTTGGAAGGTCTTTGCTTCATTGCTAAACTTAATACTATTTGCTGTATTGAAATCAAGAGAACAATTTTGTAATTAAATAAATTCTTTTTCACTGCTGGGTTGTATCTTCAGAAAGAGCCCTTGCTTCTTGATTTTTTTTGTTTCAGTTTAATTGTGTGTGTTATTTACTAGCAGAAGCTTCAAATTGATATATAATTGAAAATGAGATAAAAAACTTTTCCTGTACGTAGATGCAAGCTACATTTTACTGAATTCTATTTTAAAATTTATGTATTAATCCTAACAAAATGAAGTATGTTGTAGTGATTAGAAAATTTTAATTTGATTCCTTTTATTCCTCAGGGTGCTCGATGCATTTGAATACAGGCAAAATTGTGCAAGTCTGTGGGTTATAACTGTATTGAATTATTCTAAGCAGTATTTGGCATGTTCCAGAGAATGTAACTTTTAATTGTTTTTTATTGTTTCAAACTAAAACTGTAAAGTGTTTTAGCTTGCTTAAACACATATACTGCCAATCCAGTCATTAAAAATATCATAGAATCCTAGAATGGTTTAGGTTGGAAAGGACCTTGAAGATCATAGAGTTCCAACCCCCTGCCATGGGCAGGGACACCTCCCATTAGACCAGGTTGCCCAAGGCCCCATCCAGCCTGGCCTTGAACACCTCCAGGGATGGGGCCTCAACAGGTCCTCTGGGCAACCTGTTCCAGTGCCTTACCACCCTCAAAGTGAAAAATTTCTTCCTAATGTTTAATCTAAACCTGCCCTCTTCCAGTTTATATCCATTCCCCCTCGTCCTGTCACTACATGCCCTAGTAAAAAGTCCTTCCCCAGCTCTCCTGTAGGCCCCCTTTAGTTACTGGAAAGCCGCAATAAGATCTCCCCGGAGCCTTCTCTTCTCCAGGCTGAACAGCCCCAGCTCTCTCAGCCTCTCCTCATAGGAGAGGTGCTCCAGCCCTCAGATCATCCTCGTGGCTCTCCTCTGGACATGTTCCAGCAGGTCCATGTCCTTCCTATGTTGAGGACTCCAGAGCTGGACACAGTACTCCAGGTGGGGTCTCACGAGAGTGGAGTAGAGGGGCAGGATCA